CCGTGCGACCCTACCCTACCTATACCTACGTCCGTGCGACCTATACCCTACCTATACCCTACCCTAGGTACATGGTACCCATCCGCCAGTCTAGTCCTGTCTAGTACCTGTCTGTGCTGCCCTATAGTAGGGGAGCAGAAGGGCTTGTGTAGGTGTTAGCCTATAGCTGTAAATAGGGACCACCCCCTAGTGTTAGTCTGTTCTACCTCTAGCGCTACTTAAAACTACTCTAGTAGTCCTGTGTCTAACAGCTACCTGCCTGCTGCTACAACCTTCTCCTAGTTTATTAGAATTTGTAGGAGATCTGTTGTGCCTACCCTTTCTATTAGCTTAAGCCTTGCCTCCCTCTAGTCTAGGCAGAACAAGAGGACGTGGCTAAGAGTCTGCCTAGGGTGTCCGCACGTGCAGTCAGGGTTGGTGCCCAGTACCCTAATTCGTGCTAGCCACGCCTTGAGCCTAAGGACCTCTATGCATAGCAACACAATTGCTGTAGCTACGTGTTTGGGAACGCCGTTATATAGATGCAGTGGCTGGAAATCCCAGCTCTCCTTCCACGTAGGCGCCAACCTGTGAGGTTTTGCTGCCTGAAGCTCCCATCTCCTCCTCCATCTGTCTGTGAGGTCCATGGCAATCTCCTTAATTGTGCTCCTTAACTGTATCTGCCTTCTGTTAGGCTTGTTCCTTAGACCTGTGGCAGCAGCCTTAGCCTGCCTACGCGCTATTTGTTTGTTAATAAGTTTTCTCCCTATTTAGCAGGCGCCCTCTATGTTAGTTTGTGGCTGAGTGAGGATCCTTGCCAGCCTGCCCTATCTTGCTGCTTGTCCACCTGTAGTGGCTAAGGCCTATACTTTATTAAGTGTCTCTTTAATCCTCTTTATAACTAGGTAATTTGTTATTATAACTACCCTTTAGAGGATTACTACCTGTATGTACAGGGATAGTAGTAGTATTCTACTCTCTTTCTTAATTGTAGCTACTAGTGTTCTCTTATAGGCCCCTAGCGTCCGCCTTAGACACTTATTCTAGACCACTACTAGCTTGTGAATCTTTGCCTTGCCTATACCTTTGCCTCCCTGCCCTGTTAACTATATCTAGGATCTATATACTATAATTAGACGTGCTACTGCTGTGTATACTAATTGTGACTTATAGACTAATAGGCCCTATAATAATACTATAATCCTAGACATAGCATAGAACACTGTCTCTCCTTTTGTTACTACCTTCTAGATGTGCATTTTCTACAAGAGCTTTAGGTCTATCTATACTCTAAGTACACTTATTATTATAATAATCTTAGCTAGCTAGTCTCCTACTATTACTATAGAGAGGAGGTTATCTCCCTTATTCTACTGCCTAGTAAAGTGTATAAGCTAGTATTTCTTAGGGGTAAACCTTACTCTAAATCTAGATACCTACTATTTATATTATCTGTAGGCGTTTATAAGTCTCCTGTAGTTATCTACTATAGATAGTCCCTATATAATAATGTTAGTGTTGTCTACAAAGCTAAAGCCTAGGCACTTGTCCTAGACTTTGCTTAGGTCCTCTAGTAGGTTAGAGATAAAGAGTAGGAACAGCAAAGGTGACAGGGGGGATCCCTGTGGTATACTAGTGTTTGTCTCTATCTATAGGCTGCTGTATTTATTAAAGCTAATCTTTGTCTGTCTGTTTTTAAGGAAGGCCTCTATATATACAACTATCTATTTAGGGAAGCCTTTACATCAGAGTACCTATGTGAGGCAATTGTAAGCTACGTTGTTAAATGCTCTGGCTAGGTCAAGTGCGAGCACTAAGACCACTGGCTAACCTGCCCCTCATGCTGTAGTGACTGTGCCTGTGAGGAGTTCTACGGCTGTGAGTGTGGACCTCTTCCTGCAGGCTCCTATTTAATTCTATGGTGTGAGTTCCTTGTCCTCTATTGCGTTTGTGATCTTGTTAGCAATAATCTTTTCTATAATTTTAGCTATTATATTTTCTAATATAATAGGGTAGTAGCTCCCTAGTAGGGAGTAGTCCTTTTTCTTCTCCTTGCGTAGTATAATAGTTATAGATTCCTTAAGGTGCATAGGTACCTTACTATCCTTTAGCACCTAGGAGATTGCTGCAGAGGCTCTATCTATAATATCCTCCTTAAGAGTTTTCTATACTTTGTTCTATATCTAGTTAGGTCCTAGTGCCTTATTATTAGGTAGTACATTAGGAAAAGTTTTTCTGTTGTCGAAATTAGGAAATTGTGGCATTGTACTATAGGCAACAGTAGGACTTGTAGGCCTACAATAGTTATTTAATGTGCATTTAATGTCTAGCTAATTTCAAGCTAATAGCTCTAACAGTCCTAACAGCTGTAATAGCTACAATAACTCCTAATCCTGCTATAATAGTAGCTCTACTTAATAAACTATACTTTTATTATATTAATATACTACTAAGACTCCTCTTTAAAATAAGCTATTAAATAATATTATAGGCCTATTAATAGAATAGTTATTAAGTATAGAAGGTTTTAAGCTTAATATTCCTTGCTAAGACACTAAGTTAAGATTCTTTGCTAGGGCTCTAGCAGCCTTAATATTAGAAAATACAAGAATATTATTTCAGAATAGTAGGTAAACTAAGAATTCTACGCCTAGGTCTGCCTGTTCTGTAGTGTGTGCTAGGCTGGCGGATGGGTAGGGTAGGGTAGGGTATAGGTATAGTCACGTGATTTATGGGTAGGAACTAGGTAGGGTACATGAGGTACCCTACCCA